CCAGCTACTAAGAAGGAGAAAAAATGACTGCTGTAGCTGAACCCAGGACAGGGGGAAGCTCCCAGAGCCCCATGCTGAGGCTGCTGTGGCCTGAAAGTGCTACTGTGGGATGGCTACATCCCAAAACCAAGCCACACCGGTTTGCAAAGAGCACAGGGCAGGTGGGCAGCGGGGACATGTTTGGGCTTGGCACAAACGCAGCTGTGCCCAGTGCCGCCAAGGCTTTCCAGGGTGCACCCAGCAGCCCAGTCCAGGGAGCATGGGGCTGGGACTCGGGCCCAGAAACTCCTGTGCCTGCATTAAATGTCATAAATCAGCAAATATGTTAATCCTTCTTTCAGGCTGCCTCGGTTTCCGTGCTCAGGGCATGCTGTAAAACAATGGAAAATGAAAAGCAAACCCCAGGAGGGCAGGGCTCCCTGCCGAGGAGCCGTTTTTCTGGGCACTCCCTTTTCCTGCAACGCCGGGACGCTCCTGGCAGCACGCCTGTTCCTGATGCACCTAGTGCCATACGCCCAACAGCCATGAGGGCGTTGGTGGCTCCATGGTTCTATGCAAAGAAAAAGAACGGGAAAGAAGGAAAATCAACCCTGGGGTCCTGCATCAGCCCCACTCATGTGCGTTTCAGGGCCACGAAGGATGCCTTTTGGGTTTCACAATATTCCTGGTATTTGAAAAATTTCCTCCTTTGATTTCTAGGCTATCCCTGCTATAGCCTTCTAGGAAGTTCCTCCATGGCTTTCTATAAATTTCCAGAATATTTCCCCCTTTGATTCTGAGGAATTCCTCCTAGTGCTCTCAAGGTAATTTGAACAGTCTTGCAGTAGTTTTCTCCTTTGATTTCCAGGATATTTTATTTTCTAGGATGGCTTCTCTTTGCTTTCCTGCACACCATCCTTGTCTCCAAACTGCAGAGACATGGATTTGATGGATTGATCACTTGATGGATAAAGAACTGGCTGGATGGCTGCACACAGACAGTTGCGGTCAACAGCTCAATGCCCAAGTGGAGACCAGTAACGAGTGGT